GACCAAGGAGCCAAGGAGGGCTATTGGATTCATTTGTTTTGTATAATACCGATCAATTAATAAATGCTTATTTTAATAGTTCAATAAAGTGTTGCTTTGTGATCCTCCATGGGTTTCATTATAATAATAAAGGTATGCATGGAGTATTTAATTAAATTCTCATTACAATGGATGTTACTCTTAATTCTATGGATTAGTTTCCACAACTTTTCTTCATTTCTAAGAGATATGGCAGAAAAGGCAAGGCGAGGCATTATCTTAAAGCCTTACGAGATTTCTAACAAAATACTAGACAAGACTAAAACCAACCCTCTCTACCTTTCTAAATCGACATTTAACCTCCTCTACTGATATTTAGGGGCTGTTTGGTAACAATTCAAATGGCTAAACTGAATGACTGACTTGTGGCTTTGTCTTTTGGTGGATAAAATATTTGAGAGCAAATAATAAACGAAATTTTAGTTGCAGCGATTAACGAGTTTTTTATTTTATTTTTTGGTAAGAGGGAATTCATTAAAAAAGTACAGAGAAAGCAAAACAGATACAACCACCAACACTAAACAAGAACAGGAGAAAAAAACAAAGCAGCAACAACACAGAAAGGAAAAAAGGAAACAAAAAAAAACTAGAAAAAGTGAAAAACTACTAACTACTAACTACTAAAACAGAAAGACTCAGAACTGCGACTACTGTTTGCTAAATCACCCAACAAAACAGGAGATAGCCAAGCAGGCGCTGTGTTCAAGAGAAGGCATGAAGAAGAAAGGCCTTTTTGGGCTGCCACATGGGCTGCTCTATTTGCTGATCTGTCTCTCCATGAAAAGGAGATGTCCAAGCCTTGACTTAGAAAGACAATGGGGCCGTTTGACAAGTTTTTTTGGGAAGATCTTTTGATAGCTCTGACAGTTAAAAGACACATTGAGATTTTCCTTGAAGATCTGAACAGCCTGAAATTAGTTTGGCAGATACATGTCTTTTTAAGCGTCTTTTCGCACAAGAATAAAATGCGAAAGATGCAAAAAGCTTCATTTGGAGCTTTCTGAAATCAGCCCAAAATGGGTTTTTCACGTTTTGTCGGCGCTCCGGCTTTTAGCGATTAAATCTTCTATAAACCAAATGGAAATAAACCAAAAATCAGTCTGCCGAATATATAAATAACCGAAAGACCGCATAAAAAGACGCACCAAATGAGGCCAATATCCTTGATGCAGAAAAATAACTCCTTCAAGCAACTCGATCAAAGTTTCTTCAAAATGCTAGTTACTAGCTGTTTGCAATCACTTTCCACCTCTATTATGTAGAAAACTTCACTTCTGGTTAACTTGATTGCTTCCACCATTGCGAGGGCTTAAGACACAGTTAGGGATGAAGCACAACTTGGACCAAAAGATGTGGCTGCACATGATTCACTGGAGTCGCGCACAATCACACCAAAATCAGCTTGAATTTGATTAACAAATTAAAAGCACCATCTATATTTATCTTTAGGCTTGGCGGTCTTCGTGGCTTCCAAAAGGATTTTCCCAAAGGAAGGCTCCTAGAAGGGAGCACTGTTTGCACCTCCTTGGCCATCACACAGGCTTATCAAATTTTTAAGCCAACTTTTAAAAGAGCAGTTCAGATCAAGATTTGACATCCTTGACCCTATACCACATCCAAACCAAGCAGCGCGCTTGGTTTAGGGATTAAAAGTGTTTTGGCTTTTGAAAATATTATTTTTAAAAGCAACTCTTACCAAACACTCAAGAAAATATTTTACTTCAATTTTTCTTTTCACAGCCCTAAGCTCAAAAGCAAAAGCTTATTCAAACAAACCCTTACTTTAGTCATTTCAGCTTAGTGATAATCATGGGTGATCAAGGTTTACGCCATGGTTTAAAGTATCAATATGCCTGATACATATGGGTGTTTCGATACTTCATAGCTTGTTTTAGTGTTTTTTATTTTTTTTTCCAAAATTGTTTCAGGGGATCGGTTTTAGGCTTGTTTACCCCTTGAAAGCGACCAAATTCTGAAATACCTCTTATTTGAGGTTTTAGGGAGCTACCAGTACAATACAATATGCTCGATATGGGTGTATCATATCGAAATTTTGAACCTTGGATCAAGCTTAACACTTACTACAAGGGTTATAAGGTGGACTAATACTAAGATATAAACTTGAGCTCGGGCCTACACAAGCTCGAGTCGAGCTAAGCATGGTTGCATCTAAACCAAGCTAGAAATGATCACCCCTACTCAAACAAAATGCTACGCAAACCTTGGGGGCAGCCCTTCCTCAACAACCCATGAAACAAATATAACTCAGCTGATTTAAGCCATCTTTACTGCTATTAAAACCTTTCACTTTAACGAGCCATTCTTCAACCTGATTGGCTTTAATTCCTAAATCCTAATATATGTTTGTGCTCCACTCACATGTTTACTTCTCTTTTTATCATGTGACATTCATTGGTTTGGTCATCAATGCCCTGTAGTAAATTTATTTTTCCTTCAACTTGAATAGTTGATGCTCAACTCCTTTTTTGCCATTTCCCTCCCACATGCACGAGAGCTGATTTTGACTTCATGCATGTTTGGTATTCTCCATTTTATTACTCATATTTGCTTACCTCCATTGCTTACAAATACGGTCCCTTTCTTTTCTTTCATTGTGAGAGGGGGAAAGTTGGTTAATGGGATTTTGATTTCCATTGACCAAGAAATTCATGTTCTTTTTTCAAATTTATGTGGGGTTCATGGAAAATTTAATTTTTCCTGTAGGGGGGGGGGATTGGCAACACTTGGATGACACAAAATTTCCCCTTTTAATAATATCTTTTTTATGGCAAAATAAAAGAACATGGGGCTTTAGAGTCGATCTTAAGAATTAGTGCATTAACCATGTTCTAGGCTTTCTTTTTATAACCTGATCCTGAGGTGGGCTGTAATAGCCTTAAATTGTTTTTAAAGTAAACTTCATTCCTTGCTTTACATATAGCTTAGATATGGAAAGCGATTCTCCCTTGTTTGAACTCATTACCCTTGATATCCTTTGAGCTTTTTAGATTCTCTACTATCATGCAAAGTGCCAACTAACCGGTTGATAAGGTCTCCTGTTAGTCGTAGCAGAGATTTGGGATCTAATCCTACTTGCACCTAGTTGAGAGATAGGCTACCCCCTGTTGTGTAGCCCTTCAAAGGATATAAAAAAGGATTCTATTCTACCATATATACAATATTATTGTTTGTTGCTTAAAAGGCATAAGCTAAATACTTGCACCTGAGGCTTGTGCTTGTTCTAGAACCAGGAAGAACGGTGGAAAATGCAGTCGATGGAGTGTGATGAAGGACGAAGAACAACCTCATACCTTTACACATGACTTAGATAGTAAATGAAAAAAAGACAAAATATAACATGCGCTTAGCAACCCCAGACCCTCATTTGTTATCTATTCGCACGGTTCATTAAAAATCATGTGTGGATGCTATTATTTCAATGGTCAGAATGCCACGCCACCCAAAACGAACATCCATTCTGCTTTAATATATATAGATAGATTATAGAAGTCTAACGTTCTAGCAAAGAGTTCTAAATAAGCTATTCAAAGAATCTTTAGTGGAGGGTTGTTCGACTTACTAATCAATAGCCGATTTGAAATGCACTGGGACTGGGCCCAGGAAAAAAAAAAGCGAAAGCAAATTGGATGATCTATGATGATAGAAGCTCCAAAATTTTCATTCTATATAATAAAAAGAAGAAAAATGGAAATTGGATGAAAGTGGTTTATAAATCTGAGAATCACTTGCTCCCAACAGTATATATTTAGACAGTGGGGAGCATTTGTAGGTAGGTCTCTTGAGGAAATTAATTAATGAAAACCTTGTTCTAGAATCTAGAGGCACTCAAGCTTTGCCTAATTTTACAAGCTAAACTAGTTGACCTTCACATTCTTTTTCCAAATTTTACTTTAATTTTAAGCTTTCAACCACAAATCTTTTGCAATTTGTGCTTTCTTTATTTATTTATTTATTTTTTATTTTTCTTTATTAGTTTAGCTTGTCTTAAATTCTCAAAATATTCCGTTTGGTTGCTTGCGTGTCTTTATGTTTATTGAGAGTTGGCGAAAAAACAACGTGCAGCAGGATTGAACTGCCCCAAACAATACCTTATGCTTCCCCTTTTAAAGTTCAAATACTGACGTATTGTTATCGTAGATGATATCATGTTTCTGTTTGTATTAAATCTAAATAAAGAAATGATTCTAATCCATCGGTGTCTACGTATCACAACGTCACAGGCACGGTGTGCCTGTGTCACGGATCATGCGTTTTGTTAATTCTAACTTCGAGGTAGTCCATGTGGGCCCACACAACAATGCTCCACGTCTAGTTTTTTACTTTGATTTGGGATATTCAAATATTCGAATCCAACGGCTTTGCCAAGCGTTTCGTTTTACAGGTGAACCGTTCCTGTTCCTCTTTATCACATTCACATCCATTCCAATTGCCAAATCCATGATTACCCACATGCACATCTGGCTATCTGAGCGTGCATTGAGAACATCTCCCGTACTTGCTTGCATTGGGAGATGTTTTCAATGCACGGTTTTGTGAGGCGCAGATGTGATCTTCCACGATTCTAGCTGCTGAGTTTGGATGGCTCGTCACGCCAGCCCCATATCACGGAGATGTTCCCGATGTGCGGCTGCAGTTTTGTAGGGAGCCAACCCGACTCCAGATTGTCCTGACAAAGACAAATATTCCATCGAGATTCCGTATTCTGTCCAGCCTTTGTTGGGCATGTACGTTATTCTTGATACCAGCGATGTCTAGTTTCGGGTTTTCATATCGAGACATTATTCAGTGGGATCATCTCATACGTAAAGCTTCTGGTTGGATACGTGTCTAATTTTTAACAGTTAATTGTCTAGATTTCCGTCTGATAAAGCTCCACGTAATCACCCTACGTGGGGGCTCTATAAAGGCGAGAGATATGACTTCCGATTCCGATTCAGTGCTTTTCGCAATACAAAAGCCTTGAAAGTAGCCGCGACCCACCAGCTTCCAGAGAGAGAGAGAGTTGAGTTGAAGGAGAAGAGAAGAGTGAACGAAGCTGAAGCTCTTCATTGGCTCTCCAGCCGCGGCAGACGGGGCATTAATCAGACATCAATTTGTCTCCAGGTATCAATCAAACCTTAATCTTCCCTCCTCTCTGTGTTTTTGTCTGAGTGTAGATCTGGAGGTGGCTTTGGTGTTTTCTTTGATTTTAGATCTGTTTTCTTTTTTATTCTTTTCATCCTTAACATTCAATGGATCCATGTTCTGGGTATGCTTGATTTTCTTGAATTCAGGCTTTGTTTTGTTCTTCTTGATTTCAGTTGTTCTATCTATCCGGATTAGATATCAGATGTATTGCTTTTCTTTCTTTTCTTGTTTTGTGATTGGGACACGGCATGGAGATATGAAGTGTCGGATTCAAAGACGATTGCAGGGATTATTATGATGGAGAACCCAAGTGCTTGAAGGAAATCGAGATGATTCTGCACTTTGTTTTTTCTCATCTAGTGCCAGGCCGTATTTTCAAGGGTCCTAGGTTTTCCTGATAATGCTCCTTTTTGATTCGAATCATTCAGGATGAGTTGTCTTGGTATTTTATGGTCGGTACTCTTACTAATTTTTAAGATTTCTCTCGGACTCGGGGTAACAGAGCTGTATGCTAGCTTGCAAATGTGGTTTGGCTGGTAAAGGTTCTTTTCAAGTCATTAGCTGCTTTAATTAAGTTCTTGTTTTGAAATTAGGGCCTTTCTTCATGTTTTGGGCATTTCCGAACTTGTCTTCAAAATCTGTTTAGGTTTTCATTTGAATGTTGGTATCCTTTTACCTTTGATTTCAGTCTCCTGTTTCGATATCCTTTTGAACCCTATCTTGGTTATGGTGTAAGGCTCATTTTGGGAAGAGTGCAAATACAAATATGTACAGTCAAAACCATGTATTAGTATTCCTAAGCCATGTGGAAACTGAGCCTATGGTTCAAGTTGCTTTCTTGAAACATTTCTTCTTCTTTATTCTTTCTGTCTCTTTTGTTTCACCTTTTTTGGAGGCTTTAAGTTCTGTGGACTGAGACTGGCTTCATGATTGTTTTCAAATTTGATTGAATAGCTGGACCATTAGTTCTCTTTTCTTCAGGAAGATGCACGACTTAGGATTGTTAAAATAAATGCTTCTGAGAAAGCCTGTAGTAGGACCTAATTCCTGATTTCTCGTCTCTTCTTGCTTGAAATTTGGGTTTTTTATTTGGAGGATAGGTGTTGTAGTTCGGATACGTAGGAAATAATCTATTCTGCCTGTATGTTGAATTATTCATCACAATTTGACTCTTTTTATTTTTTCTTAAGTATGGGTGCTCCAAAAGAATTTGGAGTTTTACCTGACTGTTTCTTAGGTTTGATTAAATGTGTTCCATCCATATATCTATGTTGTGCTGCTAATTTGATTGGTATGGTATGGAAGGTTTTGTATCTTGACAAGTGCAGGATCTGTCATAGATCATTTGTTTTTCTTCTTCGATTTTCCTTTGATCTTGATTCTTAGCTACAGATATGGGTTTAGCGATCTTGGAAAATATTTTGTTTTCTTTTAGCTCTAGAAGTCAATATTCTCTTGTGAGAGGTAAATGTTCCACCCCATGAGTTTAAATAGAGCTGAAATTTTTGTAAAAGAATTAGTGAATGAAATAAATTTTATGAGTATCTTTGCTTCTTTTGTTTGGTTCAGACTCCAAACATTCTTGATGGTGCAAACTCCTTCAAGCTATTGGTTATTGCCTCATAGATTTTCTAGGTGCCGACTCCAAGGTTATTCTATTATATTTTCTTTTCTTATTAGATCTATATACTATTAGATTTGGCATTGCCCCTTCCGCTCAGTTTGGAAAGAGTACAAATACAGATATGTACAATTGTACAGTGCAAAATAAGGTTTAGAAATACAATATACAAAGTTTTCCGTTTTGTACTGTATATATTTGCATTTGTACACTTCCCAAAATGAGCCTTCATTATCAAAATCTGCATTTCAACATTGTGAGTCTTATCTCTATCAAAAACTTGTTTTTTTTTTATATATATATATATACATTCAAGGTCAAATTTATATCAGTGTGAAAGAGTTGGAAGCTATGTTGCCCGAATAGGGTTGGGACATTAGTAGTGTAAAGTTTCAGGAATGAAGTAACAGTAAAATAAAATTGTGGTGTTCAACAGTAGACAGACATAGTATAACACGAAGTGTAGCTTTTCATTTTCATTTTCTCATTTAGTATAACTTGAATGACTTGGATTATGCTTTTTAGTTATAAAGTTTTACTTGAGTATGATCAGATTGGCCAATTGTAGCTTGACCAACATTTTTTTGGCATGTAATGTTATCAGGTTGCAAAATGGCTGCAACAACAGCTTCTACCTTTCTTGTTGGATCAGTTTCTCCATACGGTGCCCAGGCATGCATGGATTCAAAACTCAAGCCATTCAACGTGAAATTCAACTCAGGCAACTGTCTTAGGAGTTTCAGTGGTCTTAAGGCAGAAGCATCTGTAAGTTGTGAAACGGAGACATCCTTCTTTGGCAGAGAAAGTGTGGCTGCTCTTAGGGATTCTTTTGTACCAAGAGCTGTAAAACAAAACCAGAGGAGCATCTGTTGTGTTCGGCCTCAAGCTTCATCCTACAAAGTGGCCATTCTTGGAGCGGCTGGTGGGATTGGTCAACCCCTGTCACTTTTGATCAAGATGTCCCCATTAGTTTCGGCCTTGCATCTTTATGATATTGCAAATGTTAAGGGAGTTGCTGCCGATATCAGCCACTGCAATACTCCTTCTCAGGTGCTTGATTTTACAGGGGCTTCTGAATTGGCCAATTGTTTGAAAGGTGTAGATGTGGTGGTCATACCTGCTGGAGTTCCAAGAAAGCCGGGAATGACCCGTGATGATCTCTTCAATATTAATGCCAGCATTGTGAAATCCTTGGTTGAGGCTGTTGCAGATAACTGTCCAGAAGCTTTCATCCATATCATCAGCAACCCAGTCAATTCTACTGTCCCCATTGCAGCAGAAGTCTTAAAGCAGAAAGGTGTTTATGATCCAAAGAAGTTATTTGGGGTTACAACACTGGATGTAGTTAGGGCAAACACTTTTGTTGCACAGAAGAAGAACCTGAAGCTTATTGATGTAGATGTCCCGGTTGTTGGGGGACATGCAGGGATCACCATCCTTCCACTGCTTTCAAAGACGAAGCCATCTGTAAGTTTCACAAACGAAGAAGTGGAGGAGTTGACTGTAAGGATCCAAAATGCTGGGACAGAAGTGGTAGAGGCCAAGGCAGGTGCTGGGTCTGCCACACTGTCAATGGCATATGCAGCTGCAAGGTTTGTTGAGTCCTCCCTCCGTGCTCTTGACGGGGATGCGGACGTCTATGAATGTGCTTTCATCCAGTCAGAGCTGACTGAGCTGCCATTCTTTGCTTCAAGGGTTAAAATGGGAAAGAAAGGGATCGAAGCTGTGATATCTGCGGACCTGCAGGGACTGACTGAGTATGAGGCCAAGGCTCTGGAGGCACTTAAGCCAGAGTTGAAGGCTAGCATTGAGAAGGGTGTGGCATTTGCCAACAAGCAACCAGTGGCTGCATGAGTTAGACCGTTGGATCTACCTTACATCATTACTATCCAGTGTTAGAATAGAATAACAAGATGGTGGGAAAATTGCTGCAGTTTATCCATCGTGCCGGTGAAGCTGCAGTGTTCTATCCATTCTGTGTATGCTGTGAAAGTGTCTTAGTGGGTCTTTTTACAAGGGGGAAGGGGTTGGGAATAGAAATTTTGTAGGTCTCAAGAGTCAGAGATAGATAGATAGTTGAGGTTCAGTTCAGGTGGAGAGAAGCAGAAAGCTGTGATACCCACACTCTCATGGTGGTAGTCCGGAAATAAAACTGCAGTTGACTTACAGGAGAGAAGAACTTTACCAATTCATTTTTTTTTCTTTACCAAAAGAGATATTTGAACATGCTTCTTTTCTTTATTACCCTGTTGCCTGCATTTGCTTTGATCTACCAAATTTCCCGTTTTATTTTCTGTTGGAAATGCTTGTTTTGCTGTTTACTGTTGGAACTTAAAACATTGATGGGAGTGGTGTGTTCTGGTCGTCCGGCTCGCAGGCACGGGCTCTTAAACCTAAAGCACATAAAGTAGTGGTCATGGTGCTTTTGACAGGTTTGTCTGTCGTTTTTCTGGGGTTCGAGGATAGGCTTTTAGCATCTCTATGCACTGCAGAAGAAAAGCGTTGGAACACTATGCAGTTGCTACGTAGACTTTTTACAGCCCTGCCCAACACCGAATGGCCCATGGTTGAATTCACCTGTAACCAACCAGCTGAACCCACCCCAGCCCGATCCGATTAAATGAAAATGAGAAACCTAGCCCCTCTCGCAACCTTTTTTTTTTTTTTTTAAATTGTCTGATAACTGAGCCCGTTGCAACCTGGGTTTATCATAATCAACCTATCTCACCTTGCCCACCCAACCCAAGTCACCTTGCCCTTCATTGCCTTCTATCACTTTAACTACCTCATTTGGTCATTCTCAAGTTCTTTGGCTAGCGAGAAAGACAAACAATTTGCCTCTTATATGATTGAACTTATGGACCCCTGATTCTAAAAAGTTCATTTCTTCCCATTTCATTGCATTTTTCTTGATACATGATTCTTCATTTTCAGTTTCAGGTTGTTTGTTATTTAATTGTGCCAGCTCAATACAGGTTTCTCGGCACGCGATGCACTTTTGTATTCATACGTGCGAATAATCGGGATTTGCTCCAAATGATAAGCCTCATACCCACCTTGTAGCATCTTCACATGAATTTAAACATATAAATATGGGAGATATTTCTGATCTATGGCTGCAACGTGTGACTTGATGCCTTCTATCACTCCTCGTCGAGCAAACCCGCCACCACGAATAGGACTACCTGACAGAAGAGCTACCTAAACCAGACTACCACGAAAAGGGCTACCAGCACAACACCTCCGGTCCTGGTTTAGTTTTCTTCCATGTCTGGGGGCCTACTTGCACGGCGTGACTACCGATGTGCTTTCCTCTTCATGTATGGTTGTTCCCAGTTTCCTATTCATAAATCATAATACACCACGATTCATTGTTAAGACGGGCCTTCTCCTTGTGAAAGCCCACATCTTTTGCACTGAGAACTGGCTTCCTATCTCATCAACACAACTTTAATGGGAAACTGGCTTCCTTAAGGCTACATTTCTCTCTTATTTTCTATCAAACCTAACACAGCTCAAGGGTTTCGGTTGTACTAGTTTTTCTTGGCTCTACCCTTATAATAAGCACAGGCTTGATTACTGTTCCCACACTATGTGCTCATTGGGTATGGGCCTCAGCACCTGGGTTCGTTCATCTTACAAGATTGGAATTGGGCCACATTTTCCCTCACTATATATATGGTCTCTGCAGCACCCAGGGCATCGTTTAGGGTCTTAATAGATCAAGAGTAAATGGGTTTTGCCCAAGGTTCAAAATATCGATACGCTGGTAGGGGTGTACCAGGCTATATCAGTACTTGCTTTTTTACTTTTTATTTTTTTTTATTTTTTTAAAACCGGTTCAGGGGGGCCGGTTTAAGGCTCCTCCATCCCCTGAACTGGTCAGAACCCCAATACACCCTCTGTAGGGGTGTATCGGGGAGCTTCCAAAACGATACGTATTGACCAATACGGGCCGATACGTGTCGATACTTTGAACCTTGGTTTTGTCCAAACCTAGCCAATCTATAGATTCGGTTTTATTCCTCTGATCACGCCAGAATTGTTGCCCAAACCCACCACAATTAATCTTGGGTTGCTTTCAGGAGGGGACTGGACAGAGTTCAAACTTCATTTTAAGCCATGAAACATGAGTCTTGGTACCAGTATCACAAAATGCATCCTTGAGTTATCAATGTTGCATCCCGGCATGGGTGCATGCAAGGTTTAAAGTATCGATACATACGCTCTGTATTAGGTGTATTGTATTGTATCTTTAGATGGCCAATACACATGTTTACAGGTGTTTTCGGGGACCCATTTTTTTATTAAATATATATAAAATTATACTTAAAACTGAATTTTGAAAAAAAAACTAAGACGACAAAAATTGCATCAGTTAAATACTGATACACTTCTACTGATACAAAGAGGTGTACGGATACTTTGAACCATGGATGCATGTTAAATATTGACATGCAGTAACATTGTTGCTCCATTGTTTTTTCTGCATTAATTCATATTAGACAATCTCTGTTGGAGAACAACTCCAAATTGAGAGTTATTGATCTATCATCATCATCATTATTTAAGCCTTCTTCCAACCATATGGGATTGACTACATGAATCCTGTTTATCAGTTCCATATCCATTGTTAAATTATGTACACTTAAATAATTTCTCATTACTTCCACTGAGTCCTTTTGGTTCCTTACAAAAAAGTCCTTTCCGGTCTGCCCTAGCTCTTCTAGCTCCTTCAACTTGTTACATACCACTTTTTCCGAACAAGTTCTGTAGATGGTCTTCTATGAACACGACTACACAATTTCAATAAACTCTCTCTCATTTTATAACCTATTGGAGCTATTCCAAGATTCCTTTGCATGATGATATCATTTGTTTACTGTTATTGACACCATTATTTATTCATTTTTTTCATAACAAATATTCCCCATTCCATATTTGAATTGCTACAACTACTAAGCTTATTCTCCAATTGAATATTATTTGTTAAGCTGTTTTGGAGCTAAAATCTAGAATCTAGATGGCATGTCCATGCATAAATATGATCATTGTTGTATATGCAATGGAGGTATACATTATTTTTGCAAACTCATTTATAATGAAGAGAACATCTGAATAACACAAAACCCACAGTTTCTCTTATTTTACATTATTTTATTTGCTATGAAATATTTTACCACTCTGGATAGGATTTTTTTTTTCAGCATTCTTGCTGCTATTCTGGGGCAACACTAAAAATAGTTCATGAAATTGATATGTTATATATATTCCATAAAAATGTGATATGATCAGATAAGCTGCATATCCCCTCTTTTATTTTATTTTATTTATTATTTATTTTTCCTTTTTTGGAGGTCAGAGACATCCAAAATTTGTTATTAGGCGCCCACCTTTGCATCAGATTGCTAAACCATCACCTTGACAAATGTGCATCAATAGATGTGCTCAAAGCATGAGTAGAACTCTTTCTTCCTAATGGCGCACTCCACTTGGTGATAGGACATACATTTCACAGCCATGAGACTCAACCTCTGCAGAAATTTTCCCTTGAACTGAAGTCTCAGTTTTATGCTGCATAAGACATACAAAACCAAAGGGTCAGGGCATACCATGATCAAATGGGTAGGTCTAGGTCTGTTCATAAAGCTCAGTTTTGAAGGAGTATAAATACAAATACGTAGAGTGCAAAATCTTGTATTTTGTATTTTTTTTTTATGTATTTGTATTGTACGAATTTGTATTTGACCTTCCAAACTGAGCCTAAGAAGAGATAATTTAGGAATCTCACCTTCCACAAATTGCGAACATCTACAATAGTTGATGAACTAAGGCCAATATCAGACCAAAATACAGTAAGTTCTGCTTTTATAGGCCCTCTATTCCATAATATCACTGCCACCCTGTTACCACTAAGAGGACCTGCCCAAACCTGCAAATTTCCAAGGGTGATTGGTCTTGGCTATGGAATTTTCTGTACACAGAGCCAGAATAAGAAATTCATAGATTTAGCTTAGTGCATGGATAAATCTGGTCTTGCATTGGGTTTGACAATAAGATATGTCCCTTTTGGACCTTTATGGGGCTTTGCCTTAGATGCTTCTGTCCAATGATGAGCTTGAATTTAATCCAAGTAAGCCTGGATAAATGTAATATGAGTCGGGTTTCCTCTGTATAGATTTGAGGGGTAAGGCCTTACGTCCCCCCTCCAAGGTTTTTCTTGATTATGAATAAATTTGCGGTGGCCACCCTTCCACTGGGAGTAAATTTTGGGGTTTAAAAAAAAGTAAAAAAAAAAGGGCAGCCTTACCTCTACACATACAGGGAGGCTGTTTCCAATATTTGAACCTTGGTCATCCAGGTCGCAATGGAACAAGCTAACTGTTGTGACAAGGCCCACCCTCTGAGTTAGGATAAATGTAATAGTAAGGGTGTCAATGGACCGGTTTTGGATTGGACCCTGCCAAACCAAAATCAATTTGGATGGGTTGGACAGACCAGCAAGGCATATTAAATTGGACCAGTCTAGACTTAATGTTCCAAAGTGTTTATTGGATTGGATTGAACCTGGTCCATTAACAATGAATTTATATTGGATTTGGTTGGATTGAGCCAATTTCTGGTCCATAGATAGAAGATAAGAATATAGGTGTCAATGGACCAGGTTTGGGTTAGAGCCAATCTAAATTAAAACAACTTTGAACAGATTGGACGGTCCAAAATATCATTGGATTGGATTGGACATGGTCCATCTGTAATGGGCTCACAGTTTCCCCATTCTACATAGCTATTGAAATAGCATGGGAAGAAAAAAAGTAATGTAAAAGTTACCTCCAACTCTCCATCCTTCTTAACCTTTTTCCCTTGAACTCCAAGTTTATCTGTTCAAACCAGTTTCTTATAAGATAAATCCACCTCAATAATTTAATGTGGGTGTGTGGATTCAGTTCATTCAAGAATTTGTTAAACAATACCTTGATTTACATCAATAACTTCTTTGTTGCTAAGAATTTCAAAGGTTGCATTGTCCATGGATCGGATGTCACATCCAATCAACAATGGAGCCTGTACATGTATAGCAAGTTAGCAACAGATGAAACTAACTGGACCATCATCTGCAGAGAGATTAACAGAACTATTCATGTATAGAAAACAATAAAAGCCTAAAGGGGTACCTTAATTAGTGCCCATATGCTGAAGTGTGACCGGTATTCCTCTGTGGTCATGCCACCATTTCCTACTTCAAGCATGTCAGGATCTGATCCAAAGCAGCTCACCAAGTGAGATATCTTGGAGTTCTTCACAGCAATTTAAGAAAAAAATTGTACACAATTGAGCTAACTTTACCATTCCAACCACCAGGTCCAGCATAAGATGCCCACTTATCATTTAGATCTGCACGAGTTGCCATACTGACCATAGAAGTAACATCAGCTTCTTGCAACAGGGAAATAAACTTGACCATGTAAAATGCATTTCAGTAAGGAGGGTAGCTTTGGATTTATGGAATCACGAGGCTTCCTTTTGGAAAGAGAAACATAGATACCCTAAATTGCATATCTCATAGGTATTTTTCTTTCATCTCCTAAGATGGGGGGTGTAGGTTTATTGTCTAAAAACATTGGTTTGAAATGCCATTTTGCCAATGCTACTCCAATAAAGCCATCAGGGTAGCATAGCTAGAGATTCATTTTACAAAGAGATATGGGTATATCATAAATTTTACCTTCCCCAACTATCCACAATATCATCTGTTGTTCTCCAACTATTTCCTAGACCAGGTGCCCATGTTGCAGGGTCTTCCTCTCCCCTGGAATCACAAACCCAGTAAATTTAATGAAAACAGAATTGTAGATATTGACAAGTTAAAAATCCATAACAAAGAGAGAATTTTCTTTATATTCAATTGTTTAGAGTTTAGACTGTTTGCAATAAGGACTGAATTGATATCTTTTTAAGTGAACTTATCTGTAAGTGCACTAGTTGCATGGGCTTATATGATAATTTCAGAAGTGACAGTTTTGAGCATATTCTTATTCCAAAAGCTTTAAGTTGTAGCATTATATGAGTTTTATTTCCATGATGTTCTTCTGTACTTAGTGCTTGCACAAGCAAGATTCCTTTATGAATGAAATAGATCAGATGGACAAAATTTTCCAGTGAAACCTTGAATTTTTTTATACATACATTATTCCTACTAAACAGAATCACGAAGAGGTTTTATCATGGTTACCAATTGATGAGAATGAATTCTAATTTGGTTTTCCTTAGGCTCAGATCGGAAGGAGTGAAAATACAAATACGTAGAGTGCAAAACCTTGTATTATTTTGTATGTGTTTGTACTCTTTCCAAACTGAGATTTTCAGACTTGAAAATTTACCTACCATTCACACAGCGAGAAAAATATAGGCCTTCCTGTCTCCAGTAATGCTTTACTCATCTTAGGGAACCTATTTCACATAATAAGAAAACAGTCCAAGAGTAAATAGAAAGACTGGTTCTTTGAATAACTGATGAAGGGTGACTGAACTTGAATGGACAGATAACACATTGATCACTATCACACTGTTGGTTACCTCTCCCTTGGGCTTGTACCACTGTTATCACAGTTATCATATTTCAAATAGTCAACTCCCTACATGAAAAGAGTTAAAAACAGAAGGTAAATTAATCACTTCTAGATGGATTTCATCTGAGGCATTATAACTAATCTCAGAAGCAATCTTTACATAAAAACAGTCAAGCATACCCATAATGCAAATGTTTTTGCATCTTGTTCTTCATATCCCAGTGATCCAGGCATTGACTGACTGCAAGTAGTAGTCCTGAAAAAATATAAAACGGAAATGCTCAGCTCCTTGAAAAACACGAGTCCATTACGAATGGACCAAGTCCAATCCGATCCGATCCGATGAATACTATGGACCATTTTGGATCAGTCCAATTCAATGTTTGGACCGCCCAATCTGATTTGCCCTATAACAGGCAATGTGATTTGAATATAAGCAGTTGATACTGAAAGCTGGTTTAAGCACAAGAATGATACCCAGCATTTGAATAAAGTCCAAACTTTAGCCCTTTTTTATGGACGTAATCTGCTAAAGCCCTTATGCCTGAGGGAAATGTTGAAGCTTTAGGAACCAGATTCCCCTGCCAAAATCCAAATTTCCAACACAAATCAACATAAATTGCAAAGAAAATCCAACAATGAAAAAGGACTAGGACTTAATGTTGATGCATCATGGACATTTGAAAATCTTGCCATGTAATGAAATAAATTGGACATTCTGTTCATCAAGCTTAAGTAATACAAACGGGATTTTCTACCGTGAATTGCAGCCGCACATCTCTATTATGAATTGAGAGATGTGTGGCTGCAATTCACGGCAGATAGAGAGTGGGTAGGAAAAGTGAGTAGGAAATCTGGGTTCCAAGCAATATGCCTATGCTCTTCCGGGCCTGTTTGTTTTTCGGAAATCTACTTTCCCAAGTAAGTAATTTATCCATGCTCTTTTTTGTTGAATTTACTTGGATAAATTTATCTTGTGGGGGCATTTTTGATCATTTCAGTCTCCACGAAAATAAATTTTGCTGTGGATCTCATATGTTTCTAAAATAAGAACATAGATAAGTTGGTCAATGGGATTCCTTCAAAATACCAAAAACAAACTGGGCCTGGGTGTATTCCTTCGTAAGTGAAGAGAATAAAAGAAGAGTGGAAAGAAATTAAAGAAAACGGCATAGAGAGTAGGTGTACCATAGAGTCTCTATTGAGTTCAGCCCAGCAATCATCTGATGCAATCAACAGTGGAAGAAAAAAAATAGGACAACTAAACGTTAGCATCACTGAATTATTGATCACCATGAAAAGATAATAGTCTAGAAGGCATAATTTGATACCGTACCGATATTAATATATTCATATCCCACTTTTGAAAGCCCAGTTGAGACCATGGCATCCGCTGTAGAACCAGTTTGAATGAATTCATGAATAAAGTTAAATAAATGCAGTAGAAATTTATCTCTTTCTATTATTTTTAGAAAACTGTACTGTAGTTATTCTTTTTTATATATGGGTAAAATTACCTGTTTCTCTAATCAATTTCTCATCAACATCACAATGGAAGTGGTTCCAGGTGTTCCATCTGATGACCAAAACCACACAAATTAGTTGGAAATGCTAAGAAGAACACCCTTCCCTCCCTCCCCAGGGAAAAAAACAGAAAAATTAATGAGATTTATATTAATAGAATTTTAAATTATGGCAAAATCTATGGTGCATGAACTGCATGATGAAACTAGTGATAAAACCATACTGCACAGCTGATATCTTTAACGTTGATTGAAGTATTGATGATAAATACATTTTGTAAATAACAATTAATGAAATCTTAATTTAATATATCACAGATATTTTTTAATGTATTATAATTGCAATTTTTAAATTATTTGTCTAATTTTTTAATGAAAGTATTCCCACTCAGCTTGTGAGTGGGAGCTGCTTGGGTTGCCATTAATGGAAGTGTTCAGCTCAGTTTGACTAGTATCATCATTTACAGTTGCAGCCTAACTTTTCAATAAAAAAATTGGGTACAATTACTAGAGCCTGACCTTCACATATATGGATCAACTTTTCTCAATTATGAGTAATTAATTGTAAAGAGGATCCACAATTCACAACCCGTTTCACATTCATTAATGAACCCAACTGCCTCAACTGTAATATGTGATTGGAACCGATGCAATATTTTCCCACCATTCAGTTGGGCACATCGATCCCAACTTTGATTTAAGTCCAACTGGGTGTTTGTACCCTGGTATCTTTAGTCACAATGTTTGAATTTAATTTGTATTAATATAAATATATGGGGGGTGAAAATAAGAAAGCTGCAAATTTTGATATCTTTTTTTTTTTTGCTTCGAGTTATATTTTGTTTTTATTTAAATTTTAGTTTATTTCATCTGCACCGCAAATAAATGAAATAAAATTAACCAAATTAAACCAAAATTTGTACTCTACTCATTTATACTTTCATACTTTTGCATCAATATAAAGGAACTTCCACTAACTAATTCATAATGCTGCATTTGGAAATGATGCAAATGGAGTGTAAATCTCAGTTCAAAATAAATTTACATTCTAGTTCAATTTTGCCTGAAAACACATTTTTCAATGTATATTTACATCCATAATGAGATGTAAAAGTACAGTAATAAAAAAAAAATAAATTTACATTCAAGTGGACTTTTGATAAAAAAAAGACATATTTTATTGAAATTCGTGTTTACATCCATTACAACTAAACGTTTGTTTGGTAAAAAGATAAATTTGTCAACTCAATTTTACAATTTATATAACCCGTTTTACACTCTACATATTTGCATTTACATTTATTTGTATCATATGCAAACACAGTGGAATGGTTTCAAATACATGTGTGCCCTTGAGCATATTAACAAATGAAATTTATACAAATGCTTCTATACTGCAATTGTGAATCGGTTGGATTTTATGAGCCACTTCAACCCAAAATCCAATTAAGACTGACATGGCCCGACCCTAACCTGATGGGTCGGTTCAATATGGGTTTCACTTAACCCGATCCATGATATGGGTATTTAAAAAATAGGGGGTTTGTGTTTCAAAAGAGTTAATAATTTAATACCCTTTTTTTAGTTAAATAAGGTTAAGACTCCCATTTTCTGATTTTCATCATAAATAAGATTCCATTCTCAAATATATGGCACAGAATAAAATAAATAAAAGTGTGACCCATGCATGTCCACCTAAAGAAGGAAAAGAAGACAAATGGAGGGTGATAAGTTTTAGTCAACATAGGTTGTGTTGCGCCTCGTTGACACTATCGTTTTCAAAAAAAAAAAAAAAAACTGGATCTGTCCGGAACCAGAACCAAATGGCTCCATGTTTTCAAAATCAGAGTAGACCGGATGGTTGGATTGGAAAAACCGAAAATCGGTCAGGTGATCAGTTTCATTTTACCCAGAACATTTTATTTTGTCAAAAACCATTGATTTAGTCAGCAAACAGCTGATCTAGGCAGTCAAACCATTCAAACCGTTTGAATCATCCAACAGTGTTAGCCGTTTTTTGTTTTTTTTGGATCATCTATTCGGTTTAAATGCTCAGACCATTCAACCCGAGAACCAGACCCCTGACCACTTCGTCGTCCGGTTCAATTTTAAAAACCTTAGATGGCTCAAATGGAAAACCAATCAACAAGACCAAATAAGAAAATACGGGTGTAAATCAGGTTGGCCCAAATTAACATTTTACACTAGTTCGATCGGATTCGGGCCTATACAAATCTTGACAAAAGTCTAACTTTGGCCTGTCCAAGTTTCACCCTAAAAAAAGGTAAATAAATAAAAGGAGTATGAAAATATACACTAAATTCAATCCGATTATTTCAAATTTAAGTTGATTTAGTGTATAAATTAAATACATAATCATACAAAGTTTATCATTAATAAACTCATTATTTCATATTTATATAAATTTGTTTTTATGTATGACTAAAAAAGTAATTACTTTATGCTCAATTTGGGAAAAGTGAAAAATCCAATCTAAGGATTTTTGGTAGGCCTAATGAACTTGGATGTAGCTAGATCTAATCTGAATCTAATCACGTTACGGCCCTATTTTTTAATTTGTGTGTAGGTAAATCGAACTTTTTTTATTCTGTGGTTCAGCTAAAAAATAACTTTTTTTTTTGGTTAAGATTTTTTAGTAGTTTCTTCAAAGCAGTTCAGTGAAAGCTTTTCAATCAAAGCTTCAGCCTTTCCAAACAGGCCCTAAATCATTCAAACAAACCACTTGATCGGATTATTCCCTGTTGCTATACTCATAAGATAGGACTCACTGTGCTCACCATGTGTGCCTACCTAAGGGTGTCAATGGATCAGTTTTGAATTGAACCCTGTCCAATCCAAAATTAATTTAGACGGATTGGATGAACCAACAAGACATATTGGATTGGATCAATCCAGTCCAAAATATTTATTAGATTGGAGTGAACCTGGTCCGTCTATAACAAATTTATATTAGATTGGGTTGTTGGGTTAAGCCAATATCTAGTTTATTGATATAAGATAAGAATATATGTGTTAATGAACTGGGTTTGGGTTGAAACCAATCTAAATCAAAATGCATTTGAACAGATTGGACTGGATCGGTCCAAAGCATTCACCGGATTGGATTGAACCTGGTCCATTTATAATGGACTCACAATGGACTGAATTGGATTGGACAAAATTCAGTCCAATTAACACCCCAGCCTACCTGATCCGGACTGTTCATAAGAGTGACATTAACATTACACTACTATTACATAATCATTAAAGTTACTAAGACTGCAGCACTCATCCACTCAGAAGGAGATTGGCTTTACTGAGAAAAAAAAAGAGCATTGAACTCTTTCTTTATTATTGGGCAAAAACCTCCTTTCTGTCCATATAAAAAGAAAGGAAAGAACAATTACTAAACTAGAGCTGCAAAAAGATCGAACCAGATCGGACATAGATTGATTTAAATTTGATTGGTTCACATTTGAATTTGGGGTAAATTGTTGAAATCTCTCTTGAAGTTTGGTAATTGCAATCGTCTCCCCTGAATTTTTTGACATAGTTGTAAGTAAATCCTTTTTGTCAGAATCTTCCAAAAAGAGGCATGAAAATGTCTGAAATACTTGTACAGTTATTATTGAGGTTAATTTCTACAGAAAAAATACAAACTTTATGAAAACAAGAAGAAAAGAGAATTTAAAGTTGTATCTTTACCTTTGAGTGGTTGATATGAAGGGCAAATTTAGAAATTAAATTAATTTCAGAAAAAAGATTGGAGGGGTTTGAGGCAAATTTGGTCAAAGTTATTGTATGAGTATTTTGGAGAGGCAACTATGTCATAAAGTTCAGGAGAGGTAATTGCAATTACCAAACTTTAGGAGAGGCTTCAATAACAACAAAAAACTTCAAGAGTGGTTTCAGCAATTTACCCTTGATTTTAAAATGCATTTCATCAATGAATTTATATGGGAATCTGAAATGCAATCAAATATTGAATATTATAAAAATCTAAAGTAAAATGATCAAAATAGTATATAGTGTTAAAGAAGTGAATTAAAAATGACTTTGATATTATATTTTTATTTTGTGGACAAAATTAATTGAAAATTACTTATAAAAAACTTAGTAAAAGGGCTACAGGGGGCTGAGTACATGAGTCCTATTTTGGTATTCCGTTTTCTTTAATATTATAACCATTGTTAAAAAAAGATAACATTTAAATCAATTTTACAAATAGATATAATATAAATTTTAAATATTAAATCAAAACAAATTGGATTATATTGGATTCAATTATAAATGAATCGAATTCAAATTCAGACAATGGAATAGTACTGTTTGGAGCCCTATACCAAACGTCTCCAAACCACTTCTCCTTTTGCTAACTGAAAAAGCTTAAACATTTAAAAACCACACTGCCAAGCAAAGCCAAAATGGGAAACCCTATAAGCTTGATAAGAAGGAAAAAGGGATACATTAATCTCTCACTTAGCATTATTTATTGACAAATGACAACCACCGACGAACTCACAATTTTCCTATTTTCTTCTTTTGCAATGAAAATGACCACCCAACCACAGACAACACTATAATTTCCTCCTTAAAAGATTATTCACAAATAATGTTTCCTGATATAGTCAAATTGGGTTTCTTACTTTCTTTGTAAACGTTGAAAACACTTCTGCCTCTAATTACGGACAGATTCCATGAACAATAAATGGTTGTTCTTTTATCCTAATAAGAATGTATATATTGAGGCTGTATTTGGTTGCAATGCAAATAAATTTGTAGTGATGCAAAACTATGACAATGCAAATGATTTGGGTGTAAATTCTGATCTATTTTTGCTTCAAAATTTAGTTTATCTTGTTTAAGTAAACTAAGACATGAAGCAGAATAAAGTAAAGGGATTTTTGGACTGTAATCCCCCTCAGAAATTTTTTTGCAGCCCCCTCCTATTCTATTAGTAAACCCCCCTATAAACCACATCCTACCTGTGAATTTGGCATCAATCCATGGGCAGGATTCAGTTCACCCCTAGGAAATCTTAGCTCCACCTAAGGGTGGACTGAATCATAAAAACCCCTAAAATAAAACCCAAAACAAAATTAAATGAGAATTTGAATTTTTTTTTTCATTTGCATTAGTACGAATAAAATTGCACTGCAAACAAACACAGCCTAAATTTCAAATTACTTTATGATTATTATTGGGAGGGCCATTCCTGGGTGCAGTGGTAAAATCTCAGGCTGATGGCAAGAATAACAACACATGGTCGAATCTGAGATCATCCATCCAAGATTTTCAGGAAAAAATAAATTAAACTTTGACTGAAATAAATCATTAAATCCATAGGATATATTTTTTTATGTTACATGGGTAGATCCGAAACCGAAATCTCACACAAATTTATCAGCATTCTGATTAGAACCGTGGCAGAATTCAGTGTACGCAGACAGAAGAAAAGAGAACAATGGAAAAGTTTAATTACCCCATCTGAGGTGTGAGACCAATGCCATTATCCATCAGCTTCCTTTTTATCTCCTCTCTTTGTCCAAGGTTACTTACAGGAGCTGCTCCAGCAGTGACAATGGCTATGAAGAAGAGGAAAATGCAGACCAGCCTAGGGAAAGCGAAGACTGATGGAGCCATGGCCATGAAAGGCAAAAGTAAGGAAGGAGAGAGAGAGAGAGAGAGAGATGTGAGGATTCTAATGCTTGTTGCTATTATATAGAGAATGTGGGTGGAGGAAAGAGAGATTTTCAATGGGTGGGGTGGTGGAGTCTTAACAGTGCTTCTGTTCAAAGCCTTTGTATGTCATTAATTTAATTGTTTTTTTTTGGATGGTTCATGGTTGATGAGAAAACCAACAAAGAAATACTTCATTTTTGGGCAAGCTGGGATTTGAGAATAGAGACCCTCTCTTGCAAGTTATATTGTCTCATAGTAGTCAAGTAACATCCTTCACCCAGAAGACGGATATATGTGACTTCTCTCCCTCTCACTCTTTACACCACATGTACACCACAAATATTCATTCAATGAACATATGGAATTACATGGATAACTTAAATATAATTTAGGATGTAGTTAGGGGGGTGTGCTAAAATGAATGTTTTTATTTTTTATTTTTTCTAAAACAAAAAACAATTGCCATGTCAGCAAAAACACCTAGCCCAAGACCCCTCAAATGGGTGCAATTTTCTGGGCGGTGTCATTTTGATCTGATAAACTTAGATTTGGTTTGATAGAAAATAAGAAAGAAACAGAAAGTTAGGGGAAGTTCTTAAGAAATTTTGTGAAGTTACTTAATAACTTTTTCTCAATTTTTATTTTCCTCATATTTTCTATTAAACCAAACACAGCCTGTTCAAACTTGCAGAATGACAGCCTCTCCGCATTGTGAATAGCAATGGGTAGGACTAGCTAGCAATTGGTGGGTTTGGGTTGGATTGAGTTTGAACCCAATCCATTTAACCCACCAACCCGTTAATGACCCATTTAAATAAAATTAAATGGTTTCAATCCAAACCCACCATGGACCATGTAGTTTTATGAAACTTGCTTAGAAGTAAAAATCAATTCAATTTTGTCAACATGGTTAGATATTGTTTAATGATTAAAATGCTTGTCTTACATAACTATATTCTAGGTTCAAATCATATCACCTACACATAATATACCATTTGAACAAATGACTTTAGAGAGAGCACAACAGATAGGTCAATCCTTTCTAGCCTATAAAGGCAGCTAAGTTGCATGGGAATTATTTGAAACATAAGATAGTGACATACATAGACAGGCCTCTAACACTTGGTGCCTTTGTAAGTCCAAAGCAAGATTGGTTATATCTATTTTAGGTGTTTGCATGTTACCTATATATTCAGATTGTAGTTCTAGAGGTGTTTTTGATTTAAGGCGAATGAACAACCTAGGTCCTTGGCTGCGGGTTGAGACACCACCCTTCAGGGAGTATTGACATGCATCATTTGATTTTTGAAATGGAAGAATAAAGAGAAGACAGGAATCTGAACAAAGAAGACAAAAGGGAAGAAGAAGAGAGAAGGTGCTTGAACTCCTGCCATGGAAGCCCTAGAGGCAGAAGGTGGGAAATGGATCGATCACTCCTCGAAGTCAGTTAGTTAGAAGGTCATAATTAATTGTAGAAAGCTTAGTGATAATGTGGGCCAATCCCTCATAGCTCTAGAGGGTTAGATAGTATTGGGGCTGAGGAACACCGAACACCTAGAGGGAGAGTCCTAATCGTGAAGATTTGCAACAACAGGTGGAGAGTATTTTAAGTTAGTTTAGAAGGGAAATAGGACCTCTCCTAGTTAGTGGACCTCAGTTAGGTTTGTTCTCTTCTTCCCTAGGACTCCTACCGAGCAATAGGACTAGATCCTCGATTAACCTGAATGCTGGCATGAGTTCCTAGTTAGGTGGCAATGTGGGTCAGACCCTCGGGTCGGGTTATTCTAGGAGTAGGGGCTCAGGTTTGGGTTTGGGTCCAAAAGGACCTAAGCGACTTTTTGAGGAAGAGGATTTGGACCTTTGGGGTCAAAAAGTGGAGAACCCCAAGATAACCATCCACATGGAGTGGAGCGTGAGGTGTTAATAGGAAAATGATTTCAAATAATTTTGATCATATTTTTATGAAAACTAAAGTCCTGACTCAAAAGATAAATTAGATCCAAAGGCAAACCAAATACTGAATCGGACAATGAATTGGTCAAAGGTCCGGTTCTTGGGTCGAACGGTCCGACTGTTCGAACTGAATAAACGACCCGTTCTAACAAAAAAATGAAAAAATTGCCAAAATCGTTGAACAGTTTGACCACCTGGGTCAGCAGTTTGTTGAACAAATCAACGGTTTTTGATGAAATAACAATTCTAGGGTAAAACGGAACTAGTCACCTAGTTTTTCCGATCCGACCGTTCAGTCCGATCCAGTTTTGAAAACCATGCTCAAACCTAGACCAATTTCCCCCTAATGGATTGATTTGTTTTTGAAATCGGGGATTGATCTAAGAGTTGTGGATAAGTCGAATAGATATATCATAACCAAAATCCGGGGCACTTATAGTTTTTTATTTGTGTTTATAGAGAACCTAACAAAAGATGGAAAGTTTCATTCTGGAGAGAGCTTTCTTAGTTATTCTAGAATTGCATGGAATAGTAGGAAAATGCTGTGTGATTCTAGGAGATTTAAATGTGGATTCCAACATTACTTGTGATGAAATGGTAAAGGACAATAAAGTATATGTTTGGCATCGATGATGCAGATACAACACTGTTTTTTCAGAAAACTGTGCTGCTGATGTGTGGATTGGAAGTACTATTTTTTGAGAAAATGGTGTTTTTTTTTTGTTTGGAAACGTTGCTGCTAGGTAGGACATTTCCTAGAGTAACAACAACATTTTCTCTTTGGTACCAATGCTCCAGGAAACGTTTTCAGCATTGGTACTTATTATCCAGTGCCACCTCATGTCCCTGTCATTTTCACCTCATGTCCCTGTTGGCAACAACAAGCTACAACTTCAGAAAATGCCAAATTCAGCGTTGCTCCAAGCCACGCCTTCCTGATTTTCAAGGCATGGCTTGGAGAACCATTTTTTTTTATGGAAAAACGGTTTCAAACAAACAAGTGTTCCTTGGAGCACCGTTTTTTCTAACATGGCGTTGATGTGTCACCGTTTTCTGGAGCAACGACATTGATACCAAACAGACGCAAAGTTAGTGGAGGTCATAGAATTTCGTTACTATTTCAAAGGTTTACCTAGTCAAATGGTCAACAAGGTTTAGGAAGAGTGAAAAATTGGGTAGAATCTATGGAGGCACTCCAAATACTTAGCAATATTCAAGGATGAATAGGACTGAGATGGGGATCAGATCATAAATTGATTCAAGTGTCAATAAATCCTTCATCCAGACTTAGACCTAAACTGCTTAGTTTCCTACGGAGCTGGCTTATGGAAGAGAAAAGGTTTCAAAATCACTAAAAGGGGTTGGAAAAAAGAAGTTCAAGGTATAAGTGTTTAAGAATTGTCACTGTAATGGGATAGAGTGAAGGATCAATTGAAATAGATGGCAAAAAATCATTTTAAGTGGGAAAAATAGGAAAAACTTTGTGCTCTAAAAGCATAGGGGCCGGTGGGATTTAGGAGAATGGACCTCTTAAACAAAGCTTTAATTTGCAAGTTGACTTGGAGTTTTTTATCAGAAAATAATACCTTATGTGTGTTAGAGAATATCAATGAATATCAACCTATTCAAGGACCTCACCTAACAGGCCATACCTTATGTTGAAACTTAATTAATTGTAATGAGGGTAATGAGGATCGAACATTAGACCATTTGATCAAAGTAGCTCTGATACTATGTTAAATAACCATTAAACCTAAAAGCTTAAGCTGATAGGTGAGGTCCTTGAGTACCTTGATATTCTCTAACAATGTGTCTAGATTTTAAAGGATAATACTTGGAAAGAAATGAAAGGATCCCAAGAAAGATCCCAACTTCTACTTCTCCCATTTAGAAGATATTGGAAAAAGAATTACAACTTTTATTTTCTTCATTAGAGGTTTGGTGATCAAGAAATTCTCATTTGAATGCTTAGAATGTTCCCTGGATCATTTTGGATAATGAGTTGAGATGTCCAATGGGCCCTGCACCTTACAAATGGAGAAACCTCTAGATCAAGGATCTTGTGAATAAGGACATGAGGGCTTGAAACTATCCTTTATTAACTGTTACTATGTTCAAGTTATTGTTACAACTCGCCTTTTTAATAGGGCCCTACACAAAATGAATTAGGCTGGAAATTCAAAAGGTGATTTTTTTTTTAATAAGGAATTTTTATAATTCTACTTGAAGATAAAATAATGAAGTTTTGGATAACAATATCTAGACCCTTATAAAGTACTATGGAAACTTAAAATTCCCCCAAACAGATGATAACCGGCAATTTTGCAATAGTGAAAAGGAAAGAATTGCCATTTGTTTGTGCATTATCCTCTTGTAAGAGCTTTACTTTTTTTTAGTCAAAGTCTTTTAGTTCATTTCCTTTTGCTAGAATATTTTAGAGTTCTCTAACTGTTGCATCTATCATTCTTTTATGCTAGTTGGCATTCACACTCCACTTGCATAAGCAAGTGGCTTAGTCAGTTGTACTACGTATATATATATATACATTTGTTTGAGAGATTGGAATAACTTAATCCAATATCCATTTATTTTTCATGGTAGTAGAGCCACAAGCGATCAACAAGGGCTCATCATTTTACTCCGATTAACCAGAAACGCATACCTTTGTAGTTGATAATAAAGATTATAATTGTGCTAGTTTGAAATTCTTGAACATAGATGATCAGCCATCTAGTCTGGTTATATCTTTGCCCATTGCTGACTTCGCTAATAACCTCATATCAGGCCAAATCAACCATCCATGTGTTGATAATGTTAATGGCATAGACTTGATCCATGTTGACAGTGTTCATGAAACTACTAACATATAAGGCCCACCCATACTAGCTATGGCAATTCATAACACTCATGAGAACCATAATACTCACCCCACACGTGTTTAGAGACCTTTGGCCCATCTAGCTGATTATGATTCTCCAACCATCCACATTAATGGTGAGCATGAGTTG